CTGTACATCGTTTTTTTTTTTTTTTTTTTAACTTTTTAAAATTTATCAAATATGATTTTCAGGAATGTTTCTTTGCTCATCTCTCAATCATCACTGCATTGTATTGGATTATGTTTTGCCCACACAATAAAAACTACAGAGCTTTGATCATAAAACTAAGCGTTTAAAAATCATCTGACATATTATTGGCAGATACAGAGTGACACATGATATTTATATGCATGTTATTTAAGTAGTCTGCTATACTGATAAAATTGTCTCATTGATTTGCATTACAAGCATCAGAATTTTATTTTTTGTGTCATATAAATATCAGCATCTATTTTGGTTTGGTCCTCTGAATAAAACTGAGGCGTTCCTTCTGCTTTTTTAAGCTCCATATTCTCTAATATCATACTATATGAGCCATAAAAGCACATATGCAAACTTTCATTTTTTATAGTTTAAAAATATTTTGTCTGAAGATTCAATCAACTCTTCTGTTTCAAAACACTATAATCACACTGACTGCATAAAATTCAGAAAAAGAAGTTACCAATCCAAAAGGGTTTTCTGTCACTGAAGTCCCACAGCCAGTCCATGTCTCCTTTTGACAAAACACTGACCAGGTGTCCATTGTAGCTTGAGGGAACAAGTATTCAGTCAGTCACAGTTACTCATAACCAGTGGTATTATTGCAAGGCTGTAACCGTGTCTTGAACACTGGTTACTATTACTATTACTGTTACTATTCACTATTATTTGTATGTGTACACTCTAAAAAATGCTGGGTTAAATTCAACCCAGTGCTGGGTAAAATAGGGACAAACCCAGCAATTGGTTGAATTTAACCCAGCATTTTTTAGAGTGTACACATACAAATAATAGTGAATAGTAACAGTAATAGTAATAACCCAGCATTTTTTAGAGTGTAATATGCTGAAAATGCTAAATATTTCTCGTCTCGTCAACAGTGTTGGGAAGGTTACTTTGGAAATGTAATACTGTAGGTTACAGATTACAAGTTACACTATTTAAAATGTAATCAGTAGTGTAACTATTTCAGTTACGTTATTAAAGTAATATAACTGATCACATTTGATTACTTTTGGATTACATTTCAAAATGTCTAATGAATGTTTTCAAATGTTAACATTTTCAAACATTTAAAGCAGGAAGAGTTAATCCTTCTTTACTCGAATTAAGATTATAATAATTTCATTTTAAAGCACAGCTACCACAAAATCGGGCTTTAGCACCTCTTGTTGCTTTGAGATTTTGAGCTTAATACTGATTTAAAACCATAACAAGATATAGTTTAATAGCTATGATACTGTTTTTGAAATCAAATCTTTGCATAGCTATGACAGGAAACACTGACATCTAACAATAATTTGGAAAATAAAGTTAACCTTAAAAAATAAAGCATAAACCCAAATCGGAAATAAAACGGTTAAATAAAAGGAATAAGCATGTGTCCTAAACTCCTGAAACATTGGTGTCTCATATCTCAGAACAGTCGATGCAATTTGGGAAAGAAATCGTAACTAATGGATTACAGTTACATTTATTTTGGGTAACTTTATTTTAAGGTGTCCTTGTTACATATTTACTATTATAATAACAATGAATTATGCATAATTACATGCAAGTAACCCCAAGCCAAACCCTAACCATATAGTAAGTACATGTAGTTAATTAATATTACTCAGTACTTAAATGTAACAAGGACACCTCAAAAATAAAGTGTAACCTTATTTTGTGATTAAATTACGTAACTAGCAACGCTTCCCAACACTGCTCGTCACATTCTGCAGGGAATTCAGGCTCTGCTTCTGTGAACACTGAATCTTTCTGACTATGACGAGGCAGACCAGCCTAAAAATGTTACTTTTAAAGTTGAAAAATGACCTTGTTGTAATAGAGTGCAGCAAATCAGTGCAAGAATTTCAAATATTGGAGGGACAATTTGGCCATCTCTAATTATTGTGGGGGACTTGTCCCACTCAATGTCTACAGTGGTTACGGCCCTGTTCTTGTTATCTAGCGTTTGCTCTGTCTGACCTCTCTCTGCAGGCCCGCGCCGCGGCGCTCCACGTGGCTTTGCGCTCGCCGCTCAGTATGTAACAGTAGTTGTTGTGATACGTCCATCCTCGAGGACACTTCTGTGCTTTCACAGTCTGGATGAGCGCAGAAAAGACCAGAAAGCATTCAAATCATCTCGTGAAATGCTGAAACCGAAGGCCCAGTCATCATGATGACTTCTAAATCTTAAATACTGTGATGTTAACAACCTCGTTATTCGGGGTCCAGGGCCTCCAGGAGTCCCCGTTACAGCGGAGCAGCTGAGCCGAGCTGTCGTTATAATGCAGAAAGCCAGTGAGCTCTGGGGTGCAGGGTTTGGAGGACGGCTGGGGAGAGATACCACCAAACATGCAGGTTTATCTGCAGAATATTGCTGTAAATGAATTGGACATTTTCCAACTCTCACCTGAGTCGCAACACGCTGTGCAGCAGCTCTGATGTTAGTGTGCGGGACGGTCCTGTCGTGAGGAGGGCGCTGCTGCCCCCTGCTGGTCACCTGCACCTGTGCCTTTCTGTCAGAGGCTGCGCTGTCCTCCTCGACCGCCATCGATATGATACCGTGATACTGTAAGTGATTAGTAATATTAATATGATATCAATAAAGAGAATTATTTGTGATTTTATATAACAAATGGTAACAAAAATTAAGATCAAAAATGTTTTTGGACATAACGGATATGTCTAGTCCCAGCTGCTTTACTGCCATTATGTTTTTATTCTGCTTACTTTGTAAATGACTTCAGATCCATGACGAACGGTTTCAGAAGGCTGAACCTGTGGATGAAAGTTCACCGTGGTATCATGAAAACTACTGAAAAAAATGTTTTGTTTAATTAAAATAAAGCTGTAATAAATACAAAATAATTCTAAATGTATAAATACAATATTTGCAATAAAATTTAGATAAAATAAATAAATATTGCCTAGGCAACTAACTGAAATTACATAAGTTGAAGTGTTAAAATTACTCAAATTAAGACTGGAATAAAATAAATTATAGTTGTTATAGTTCTTAAATCTTAAAACACTAAAATGTGGAATTTAAAACAAAAATTAAAATGAAAACTAAAAATATATAAATAAAAGCTATAAATTAATAGTTGTTGTAGTTCTCAACAACTATTCAAAATTGTTTTTGTTAACTGAAATAAACCTGAAATTAAATTCAATTAATTAAACACAATGAAAAAAATAAATAAATATGAATTTACATATTACATGAAATATTGTAAACTAAAATGGTTAAAATTGCTTGTTTTAACTTGAATGAAGCTGAAATGAAATAAAATATAAATATTACATGAAAGACTTTAAAAAAATTTACATTTTATTCAACTGAATAAACATAACTAACACAAATAACTTAAGTACTAAAATTACTAAAACAGAAATGAAAATAAATTAAAGCTAAATAGAAATATTAAAAGGGAATTAAAATGTCAAAAGCACGTAACTAAATTCTAAAATTCCAACTAAATTAAAATGAAAACTGAAAATATTAAAATTAAATCGAATCCAATATCATCATAATAAATGCTGTAATAGTATAAACGTACTAGTTTGTATTGACTTACCACTTTCCCATTCCCAATGACTCTGAGTCTTTTCTTTGTAGCAGTGGGAGCTTGAACTATTATATCACCGTCTCCTCTGTTGTAGCTCTGAGAGAAAGGTAGAGTCTCCACCTGGATGGAGCCGTGTTGAGGGTACGGCCCCGGCTGCACCTCTCGGCCCTGAAGACCAGTGTCCGCTTTAAACTGGCTCTCTCTGCACTGCCCTTTACAAACAGCCAACAAATCATCTTACAACAATCATAATCTGTGGCGTTTCATCATTGTGGAAGAAGTATGATTTTTGCTCTTTTCGTTAAAGGAATAGTTCACCAAAATTTTGGTCTTCTGGACAACTTGCACTAACCATTTGTGTCCTTTATGAAGATGGTGGCTTTTGAGTTGACTTTCAGCACTGCACCCACGGGAGATACCAAATTAACCTCAAATTTCTCATCAGCTTCCTCTAAAGAGTCCTGAACAATCTCCACTTTCCAAACGCGACTGACCACCCCTGGAAACAGACACCGTTGAAGTTCTGTCATCATTCTGTATTACATCTCAGTTCATTGTTTATTTGTATAAACAGGTTATATTCCCACAATAAATCCCCATGTTGGTGGATTACAAAAGACCTGGGTCAAACTGAATCAGAGATGAAGCCGGTATAAAATCTTTTCCAGCAGATGCTGTTAGTTCTTTCACCTATGGAAAATGAAAAATGCATATTCAAATCCTTTATTCTTCTTCACAAAAGAATAAAAAGCAACCAAATACACCATAACAAATAAAGCTATACCTGTACAGTCACATAAGACGAGTCCTGCACATTTCCCTTCCTCTGGATGGTGAGTGAGACTGACCCTTGACTCTCACATATTACATACTCAGTCCTGGTCAGCTGCACACTGGCCCAGCTGAACTCCAGCCTGACAGAGAGAATAACATTACACATCCTAACATACACAAACAACATGCCATCCAAGTGTATGGGTGGAGGTGTAACGCTTCATTAAAACATTAAGAAATACTCACAAGTACTTATTGCTACTAGAAAAGGTGATTTATGGACGATAAGGTCTAATGAAATTAATTAACTCAGTCACTAATCCTGCAAGAAAACAAAATCAAAGCAACATTTCAAAGCGGAAGGTTTACTTGTGAGAGGCTCCGGTGTTTCCCAGCGCATCAGAAACACCGAACTCCAGACTGTCAGTTAAAGCATCCAGAGCAGAGTTTATGATGTAGACAATATTCCTTCTGTTCAGATCCTTCTGAGAGAAACGCTGCCTCATAAACTCACCTACAGACAGAGTTTACATCATGTGAATACATTAAAACAGACATAGATAGACAGACAGACAGATAGAGATAGACAGAGATAGA